ATGCAATTAGAAGTGGAGAGTACAGTAATCTGTAGTTGTGTTGAGACTTAATCTCCAAGAATTACCAGGTAGCCGTCGGCCACAGCGGCTTGGGAATTCTGGTCTCAAGAGATACGGATGGCCCCCGAAAAGAATATTGATGGAAGCATTCAGATACAAAAGAACGCGTCTTCCTCCTCGCTAGAAGGAGAGGCTATGTTGACCCTCGCCCACTTCGAAGCTGAGGCCGAGATCCCAGCCCCGCGGAATGTCGGAGCAAAAACAGCAGCAGAGCAGCACCACCGCCCAGCGCAAGAACGGCGCCACCGGACCCCGACAGCCCCTGACCGAGCTCAGCCAGCATGCCACCATCACTTACGAACGTCTGAAGCAGCACCCGAAACCGCGCGACGCGCCCAGCGGATCCGCCGGACAACAGTGACTGTCAGCGGAGGGACTTCCGGCCGATGGCCCGCCCCCTTAGGCTCCACCCCTCCAGTGATTGCTTCGTGGCATCCATCCCTTTTCCTCTTGCTTCCTTGCCATATTTTGCCCTCTTGTTTCTAAAGCACAAAATGTTGTCTTCTGCTTTCTCATCCTTTTGCCTAGCCTTTGCCTTGTGAAGCTAAAGGCGAGCTGCAGTGTCGAGTGGTTCTATTGATTAATGGCCCGTGGTAGTTGCTAATTTTCGTTTGTTAGCTTGTTGTGATGATTCTCGACGAAGCGCGCCAGTTCTGGGACAAATTTTTAAATCTGCTTCTTCCCATTTTTCAGACTTCTCAATCTGTCCATTCTGCATGAGGACTGCGCAGGCAGAAACGAGCAGCAACCTTACTTGCTTTACCAGAAATATTTTCAAATCGCCCAGGGCTCGTTTTATTGTGGGTAGATTTACTTCTATACTAGTTTGGAGAATAAGAGCAGTGGAAATAGTTTTTTCGTTTTTAATATAATTTTAAATTTTAAAAACGTGAATGTTTAAAAAAACAAGTTAAAAAGTGCAAAACAAAAAACTGAAAAATAGTAAGAAAATAAATATAAAGAAGAAGTTTTTAATTTTGACTGCAGATAATAAGTACAATTATGAATTTACCAAAGCTACAGTTACTCTCTTCTCTATCTTACTGAATCTTCAAAACCATAGATCTTAAGTTCATTTTTTTTCTGTTTTACATAAAAAATTCACAAGGGATTTCCAATCAGCAATACAGGTAGTCCTCGACTTACAACCACAATAGAGCCCCAAATTTCCTATTGCTATGTGAGACATTTCTTAAGTGTGTTTTGCTTCATTTTACGATCTTTCTTGCCATAATTGTTAATTACTGCAGTTGTTAGTACAAATAGTCCTCGCCTTACAACAATTGAGCTCAAAATTTCTATTAAGTGAGACATTTGTTAAGTGAGTTTTTCCCCATTTTATGATCCTTCTTGCCACATTGTTAAGTGAATCACTGCAGTTGTTAAGTTAGTAACCCAGTTGTTAAGTGAATATGGCTTCCCCGTTGACTTTGCTTGTCATAAGATCACAAAAGGTGTTCACATGATCACGGGACAATGCAACCATCATAAACATGAGTCAGTTGGCAAGCATCTGAATTTTAATCACATAATCATAGGGATGCCGCAATGGTCATAAGTGTGAAAAATTATAAGTCACTTTTTTCAATGCTGTTGTAACTTCAAAGGATCACTAAATGAACTGTTGTAAGTCGAGGATTACCTATAAATATAAATGTAGCTTTTTTGCGCACTAAGAAGGATAGTATGACTTTTCTGGTTCACATTTCTAGTGCAGATTTGAAATACCTTTATAGGCTATAGGTAATTTGTCTGTGTCATGTATCAATGGTACATCATTGTTTTCTTTAAAATTGTAACATAGTGTAAATTTCAGTTTATCAACCACATATTTTCCCATTGTTAGATCTGTATATTATAACCAGTTTTTAGCCCACTTTATTATATATTCTTTCACTTGTTCTCTTTCAAATTTCAATAAAAGTTTATACATTTTTAACAATCATATGTTCACAATCTGTAACAGTGTCAAAGTCAATGTTGCTATATTCAATACCATGATGTGTACCCATCATTGGGTGCTCTAGCTTTCCTGTGGTTTTATTATCATCTATAAAGCCCTTTATGGCTTAGCACCTAATTACCTTCAGGATTGTTTATTGCAACTGGAATTGGACTAAACTATAAGATCACCCTAGGACAGGGGTAGGCAAACTTGGCTCTTTTATGACTCGTGGACTTCAACTCCCAGAATTCCAGCTGGCTCAGGAATTCCAGGAGTTGAAGTCCAGGAGTCATAAAGGCGCCAAGGTTGCCTACCCCTGCCCTAGGAGAAATAGCCGAGAAGGGCTGTTTTCAGTAGGGCTGAAAACAGGAGGTGCTGCTTTTCAGTAGCGGCTTTGATATCCATTTTCCAGTGGAAATCAGACCGACTCCTTTGTGAGGAGTGTTTAAGAAATGCTAAAAATAGTTGTTTCATACAATATTTATAATTTAGAATTAGCTATCAATGTATATATTGTATATTGCAAGCTGCAACTGATTCAGAACAAAATGCAGCTTTAAAAAATTATATTGATTTAATGTGCTATTATTTGTGCTATCGATGTTTTAGATAATTTTTTTGGAGAGAAGTGTGTGTGTAAACCAATGAGTATTTTTTAATTGTAGTATGGCACAAAATTCAATAAATAAACATGTGTTTATACCTGCTCTCTCTCTCTCTGTGTGTGTACACACACATGTACATATATACATATACACACACACACACAAACACACACGTTTTCCAGCACTGGATAAAGACTTTATTGTTACTCTAACACAGACATGTCAAACTCGCGACGTCATGTGACATTGCGCGACGTATCGGAGCTTTTTCTCCATTGCTGGCAATGGGGTGGGTGTAGTTTCTTCATGATGCGTCCGGCCCATGGGCCAGCAATTTGACACCCCTGCTCTAATACGTGAGACATATTTCACCTATCCAATAATGTTCACATTATGTGTTTCACATTTTACAGCATATAGTAGGATACAACCCTTTTTAGGTTGGGTACTGTTCATTTCCCAAGTAATATATGATTTATAAAAAAATAAATCATAGTTAATCCAATTATCCCTGTGAATCTTAATAAAAATAAGATTTGGCAGGAACTTTTGAATAGGTTCAGAGGCCATATATACTCCTGTGATCTTAGAGACTGTATATTACCATACTACAGTTCCCAGAAGCCCCTTTTAAAAACATTTCACGGAATCTGAATGTCACAGTATTTAAAAACTTTGTTTTGCTCACTTGTTGTTCCACTTTGCTCAGCACAGATAAGTCATGCAGTTTAATATAAAGCTATATTCAGTGCCTCTTTATCACTTTCAAAAAACTAAGACTATGCTCACATTTGGAATCTGTTATTTCAAAACAAATGGAAGGGACTGTCCCTGTTAAATATAAACTATCTGGATTGGAAGTATATTGTATGCAATGACTACCTAATGGTCAGCAGCTGCCTCACAACTAAGAAGACGAAGTGACAGCTTGGGTCTAAATCAAGTATGAATATGTTATCTTATTGTTCCATCAGAATATTGATTTACTTTTAGACAAAAGGGAAGTCAACATTCAAGATTATTTTGAAACAGAGGACAGGTCAGGAAACATGCTGTACTCAGTAGTTACCCATTTAGGAGTTGGCCTCCTACTTAAACAACTAAAGTCAACAGAAGTGGACTTTGTTGTTGTACGATCTTAGGCAGCTAAAGCCCAATCAAAGAAATCCATTCTACAGTTGGGAATCACAGGCCCTTTAATAGCTAGTTCTCAGATACATACAAACAATATGGCTAAGGTGCATTCTTAAGAATGATTTAGAACAGCGGTTCTCAACCTGTGGGTCGGGACCCCATTTGGGGTCGAACAACCATTTCAGAGGGGTCGCCAAACAACGCAGTCCGCCATTTCCCCCCCCCTTTCCTTAGCTGTGCTACTCCCTTTTATTCTATTGGCTTTTGAAAGCCAATAGAATAGACTCTCTTGAATAGAATCTAATTATATTGGCTTTCAAAAGCCAATAGGAATTGTCCAGGCTGTCTCTGCCCTGCTGAGCCCGCCAAAAGTCCCATTCTGCAAACGGTGCTGCAAGTTGTCTGCAGCAAAGGCGAGCTGTCTGGAGGTTTCCACCCCTCCCTGCTGAGCAACTACTAAAAATGTAAGTAAAAGAGGGCCAGGGATGGGAGGTGGGAGGCTGGCAGGCGCAGGGAGGGTTGCTGGCGTGTGTGGGGCCCGGCGGGTGCCTTACCTCCCTTGGGCTGGGCCAGCTGGTGGCCCAGCCGGTGGTCGGCTTGCGCCATCTCTCCCGCTTGCCAGCTATGCCTTGGCCGGCGCAGGGGGCGGCACCACGCATGCGCGGCACTCCCGGGCAGGGAAAGTCCTCGACTTACAACCGGTTGGGTAGTCCTCGACTTACGACCGGTTGGGTAGTCCTCGACTTACGACTGGTTGGGGGTCGCGGCATTAAAAAGGTTGAGAACCACTGATTTAGAAGTAGATGCTTTTGAAATAAGATTTCTGATTAAACATGACTAGTGGTTTTTGCCCCAAATAAGCCAAATGCTCCTGAAAATCTGGTCCAGGAAACAATAATTCAGTATGCAATACAAAAATAAAATGAGTTCTTAAGAGTTGAATGCATGATAGAATTGAAGAATAAATTGATAAAATCTGTAATCATTTCCTCTTACAGTGCCATTCCAATAGGGCTTTTCTGCACTTTTGCTAAATGTCTCTTGCTACTATAAATGCTACCTTTTGATGGGAAGGAATATACTGTTCTAAGGAAAAACTGTATATCTGGAAGAATATACTCTCACCAGCATTAATACTATTCATGCTGTTAAGTTAGCAAAATGCACCAGTTTAAATTTTGTAATTTAATTTTTAACATAAAAAAGAATGACTTCACATAAAAGTAATCATTTTGAGAGTTATGATAAAGGCAAAATAGTTTTTTAAAAAAATACTTTAATTAAACTCTTACAAAAGTGCAGACCAATTAACAAATTATTTTCATCAGCCCCGATAATCAAATCACCTTAAACTGACATTTCAATCCAATTGTTTAAAAAATAGTTTCTAAAATCTAAAACAGTTATTAAAATACAGGTTAAAATTCCAATTCAACTTACACTTTTTGTACATACTAAAATGTTGTAATAAAGATTTTATTGCTTTCATTGGGCAATGTTAAAAAAACTTACATTGCCATGTTATCAGATATGTAATTTGGTGATACAATCTTGAACCATAATGCACACCCCCACACACGAGAAGGACCTAACTCTGGGTGCTGTACTGAACACCCTAAGAAAACATAGGAAAAAAAACATATATAAGTAGAAAAAATAATTTTAACAGCAGAAAATTCCATCAATTTACCTAATTGTGAAATTTCACTTTTCACTTCCACATCTTAGAATAAAATTCATACATGCTGAAATAAGGTGTTTCCTATTTTATAATCTTTCTAATGGTGCTACACAGTGATATTTTATTTTTATTTTCCTTGATGGAAGCTCATAGCAACTTACCTTTATAGGCACATATAATCCAAAACAGTTAAACCTTTATAAGCTTTAATAATGAAGTAATATTCTACACTCTTGATCAATCCTTTGACTTAAGAAAAGATTGTATATGAAGAAAAGAATTGAAATACACTAAGTATGATTATGCAAATAGGCGTCAATATCTTTGCAAGAAGGTGGAACCTTTCACACAAGCATCCCCAAAAATTGGGTTTGAAATTAGATATGGGCTATGCACAGTATTTATAATACTGTATGCTCAATGAAGTTTCGTGAAAGAAATAGTTGGTGCATACATGTTCAAGAGAAACTGCCTTAGTTTCTTACCATTTGGGAAAGCAGCCTATTTACATACATTTCTGTTGCATTTGAATAATATGCTAAACCCATGAATTACACCAAATTACAATGGCTAAGACAAAGCAAGCACAGCACACAGTGTTGAAAATAAGAGCATCATTTAAGTGTAATGTGATTTCTTTGGGCATGTTGTGAAAATGCAAACATGTTTGAACACAGTTGCTGAGAACAAGTACTCCAGCAATACTTACAACCCTTCTGTGTTTTGAAAACTGAAGCCAGGCTTTTGGCCAAGCATTATCTTATTGCATTCCAACTAGAAAGTCATAAATTGCTAACTCTCCTATTTGGACTCTGAAACTAATTTTTTATACAATGTCCTTATTTTAGAGTTGACAAGGTAGAAGGTCATTGTATTTTTCTACTATAGGATTAGAAAAGATTCTGAAATGTTAGCTGGAGGTTTGAAAAGCATTCTCTTTCTAGCTGATCATCATGGCTATATTATGAACTTTTTCAAGCAAAAAAACTGAATAATATGTACATGGGAATACATAATTAAAATACAAAAAAAGATTAAATCCAATTTTATTTGATCATATTTTTGTACATGCAACATGAAGTTCTTTTGCCCTAAATCTCTGAAATCTTTTCCAATTCATATTTTCTTTCATCAAAACAGGTTTGATATGGGGAGGTAATTCAGTATCTATTCTCCTACATATGCATGTTTTGATAAGACTAGTAACAGTTTAAAATGCTTATTTTATTCATTCCTCTTCTGAAATTAGCTCAAACCTATTTTTTTTATTATCTTAAAGGATCTATAGAACCATAGGGATCCATTACTGAAATACTGAATATCTAAAGTTAAGCAAATCTAATGTAGAAAGGAGTTCATTCTGATTTAGTCCCTGATAATATCCCTTGTTTCTCAAGGAGATTGATCATTCATTCATGTGGATTTAGTATAAAAGGAATTTGGTAGCAAAAGATTTAAAGACCTCTATAGTTTAAAATATTGTGTTATGGTGTATGGCTGTGAAATGCTAACCATCATTTATAAAAATTCAATTAGTTCAATTGCTTGAGCAAATTCAAAGTATAATTACTGAAAAAAGCATGCTAGAATTTTTAATCTATAGGAAACTACAACCATCAATGATATAATTTGTCACATCCACTATGTAGCACCATTGCAAAGCATATATTTACAAATATAGCTTTACACAACATTATGATTGATAATTAAAACATTAAAACATGAGAATGGAAAACTTCATAGGTTACAACACTCATTAAATTCCCAGTTCTTACCAATATATATTATATATTATTTTAATGAAATCATATTCATTAAATCTCTTCAATTTAAAGAGAGATTCTGGCATTAAGGCACTTATACAGTTTTTTATTATGGCTTTTCATGTTTTAGGTTCACTCTTTTAGGAAAGACTGGAACATCCTGTGAATGAAGAACTAGTATTCTAAACAGTCACAGCAACAAAGCATAAACATTGTTTAATAAAAGATTAGCTGTTATATAACACCTATGAACCTAAGTATTTGTGTTAATTACTGAATTGTAATTTATCAAATATCTCAATCATACTAACAGGAAAAAGGTATACTAAAAATTACAGGATTCTTCATACTTTTGATATAGTTCATCTTGAAAAAAGATACTAAGAGTCCATGATTAAGCAATTTTTGTCACTTGAAATCTGAAGATGCCTGGTTCAAACTAACACACCTTTGGGCAGAAAAAAGGCAAGGGGTTGCACAGAAGACAGAAATTCAGAAGTTTCAGAACTCAAAAAGTACCCATCAGTATCACTTTGGACCCCCACTTTTACATTATCCAGGCTGATAGAAAGCCTCTCACACACAGCCCATCCATAAACAGAAACAGCAATCACTTATGGAACAATTGCTGTCAGGGCTAAGCATTAAATTTTATGCATAGCATGCATATAATCAACTCATTATGGACTATTGGCTTTACAATATGTCCACAGAACCATCCATGCAACCTTGAGACTGGTTGAAATGCATCTTAATTATCTGACACATCAATGTTGCAGAACACCCTCCTTTAGGATTTTAGGAAGAAAATTAGCCATTCTCTTAAACACTCTATCACTCGTCATGCAACCATTTTTGATTCCATGTTACATGAACTGTTATTCTTTTTCTGTATTAGAAGCTCACGAATATTCCACAAAGCATTAAAGACATCAGCAAAGTGTCCAATATGTTGCACGAACCATTCACAGCTTCATTCAATGCCATTTTAAAAGGGAAGAAGAAATCAAATGGAAGTTTGCTATAAATGTCAGGTTGACCATGTGGTGACTCTGGCCATTTGGTAACATCTGTGAAGGTAACTGTACTTGTCAAAGGCAACATGTTCATATGTATACCCAGAGACTGAAAGAAAACAGAGTATATAGCATTATTTAGCTATTACCTTATATCCAGTGTTTCGAGGAAAGAATGTATGGAAAGGGATAGGAACAAAATGTGGGATAAAAAGTTTCCATTACTTATTGAACTAATTATAATTTAAGACTAGTGTTTATTCCTTTAGACTTAAAAGAAATAGAACATTTAAGAGAACACCTGTGCCATTTGTTGAAGGATTTGGATATAAAAAGAAGCTTTGTGTCATGAATATTCTTCCTCTTGCCTAGACAGGATATTTTATAACAAAGGAATTGGTACAGAAAATGATACATCTTTTTAGACTTATCATTACTTTCGTCATCACATAAGTAAAAATAGATGCAGAAAGGAACTCCACAGAGTCTAGAGATCATTTAGATTCTAGACTTTCTGACTTCCAAGGACTTTATATCTCCAAGGGCCTTTAAATTGCTTTTCTCCTACATCATTAAGTAGCAACAGAAAGCTCTGTGCTACATAAGACTTTTGCAGAACTATAACATTCTGCCAAAAGAACAGATTCACTTAAATATTAAATAAAACTATGCCTTCAAATCATTCTGATAACAGCCTTGTCTAGGCAGTTGCCGGAATGATTTGATGGCATAGTGTTATTTAAGATTTATTGTACATAGTAGAAACTTTGTCATTATTATCATAATTTTCTTTTCTTAAAATAAAATGTAATAGGCACTTCGGGTTTTTCAGGTTATTTTTACTTATTCAACAGAGATTAAACAAATCATCATTTAGCATGACTTTTGAATTCAACATTATCTGAAACTAACCTTCAGAGGCTGGCAGAGATAATAGTATCGTGCACCCAACACTTGAGCTTGTGGATTAGATAAGAGGCCCACATTAGCCCATATCACCTGAATCTTCAGGAAAATAGGAATCATACAATGCCCATCCTAGAAAAAAAAGATACCAGAATTTAGGTAACAGGAACCCTAACTCTTCCTGTTGATAATCATAAATAAGATCAGAATTCATGCAACATTTATGTTCAATTAGAAAGCATAATTCACAGTACTATAAAGGGATACAGAATGTTCTGTCATCTCCATCTCTCCATTTATGGGAAGAACAAAACAATGCATAGCAGGCACATTGAGTCCAGTGAAAAAAAATTCTTTCTGAGTACAAAGCTGCAAATATACAGTGACTGTAACAAATTATGTCTACCACATAGCCGAAAAAAATAAGACAGATTATGTTTTAGTACTTGTGACAAAACTTATATTAGGAAACTATAGGTGGAGTTAGGTGCTCTTTTCTCACATTACCTGCAACTTACACCTCTGGGTAAAAACTCTGGTCCATTGCTCTGGATGGCCTGGATCAGCACTGCCAATTATGGCCAAATGCCCTGTGCTGAGTCCTCCTTCAAAGGCTTGGTAAAATAGCTCCTGCAAGTCACTACAACTTCTTTCCTCAGGTGTGAAGGGTATTCTGTGAAAGATCAAGCTGCTTTGTGTCAAAAATATAAAATACAGAAAAAGATAGTAAAAGATAGTAAACAGAATAAAAATTACAGAGTGAGAAAGAGCTGCATGGGAAAACTATATAAGTTATAAAGAAAGGACAACACAAAGATCCAGCCATTTTAGAACTGGAATCTCAGAAAATAATTATCCGGAATCCTTTGTGGAAATATTTATACACTAGTCCTTCAATGTTCAATGAACATGTAGTATGTGATAGAGACAACATTTAGCAAAATTCTTCATTTCATCTGCCAAAACAGATACAATACATCCGAAATCTGAATTAGAAGAACAAAAATGTAAGAAGCTATATAAAATGTTACCTGAACTGGCAGCCCATTCTTACATTCTCCCCAAATTGTACTGTAAATCTCTCAGTTGCTGAGCACTGACCATTAGCTTGGTTTTGTAAAATGGTCACCTGAGGAAAGGGAGTGATATGAAACTAAACGAGAATATAGTGGAGCCACAAAAACAAATTATAGACTGATACTGGTACCACATAAAACATGTATCTATTATTTGTAAAACCATGGCATGAATAGATTTTGAATAGTAAAACAGGCTGCTTAAGTTTTAAAAAATGAATTCAATGCCTTGCTAGTTTAGGTCAAGCAGTAAACTTCTTCCTTGTGAAGATTTTATTATTCTTCTGGCAAATCCACATTTAGAAAAGTTTTACAATAATATTTGTATTGCACTACAGTGTGTTCTCCTATGAAGCTATTATATGTATTTTGCATGTATTTTTATTCTAATTGAAATGTCAAATTATTGCTAATTGATCAGTCAGTGTATGATTTCCATCATTCCAGTCCCCATGATTACAAAACTGCCAACTGAGAATATTTCAAGTGAATCCCATTTCTAAACATTTATACCACTATAAATTCAGATCTTTAAATGTCACCATCTGTTGACTTCCTGTGATAAATAACTTGGATACATCTCTGGAAAACAATATATATATACATATATACATATACATACATACATACATACATACATACATACACATACATACATACATATATATCAAATACACATTTTGTATACTATCATAAAATTAAGTTAAGGTAAGATAACCTTTTATTGTCATTTTTATACTGTGGGCACAATGGCATACATCAAAAATGAAATTTAGTTGCCCGCTCTCAAAGTGAAACACATACATGACACATACCTAAACATACTATGAACAACATATGTATAGACCCACATCCCTACATATACGTAGCAAATAAATATTAAATATTCTCCATCTTGAATATATAACGGAAGGAGGAAGCTTGAGAGTTTATAAGGTTAATGTTGTATGGAATGAAACTCCGGCTGAATCTGGATGTTCTGCTTTGGATACCACGAAGTCTTCTCCCAGAAGATAACAAGGAAAACAGGTCGTGAAGAGGATGTGTAGTGTCCCAGATAATCTTACGGACCCTGCTCAAGCAGTGCTTGAGTAAACACATCCTACATTCCTACTTCCCTCGATTTAATAATAGAGATACACAAATTTCTTATTGATGTGTTTAAAAAGTTTTTTAAAATTGTGAAATAGATATCAAAGTATCCAAAACCAAAGATATAGAACTTCCCCACCCTGGAAAAAAGAAAGGAATGGAAAGAAAAACAAAAAAAGTATGGAACTGCACTCATAGAGTTTGCTATTATCTAAAACTAAATAAATAAATGACAGGTAGGTAATACTGCACTCTTACTAGGTAATACTGCACTCTTACTAACGGTTGTGGATAAAAATGGGATATAGTTTCTTAACTTGGTTCCAAAAAGTATTATTTGCATATAACTGTGTGTTAATTTCAAGAACTGTTGGAACAGGAAACTTCTCTGTATTATGCTCTTGAATAATAAAAGCTTTCCAATGGACAATCATCTAAAGCTTATACCCATACATCCACTGGCAAACATAACTTAATATAGAACAAAAAACATACATGTTGCTGGATCCCATTATATAAAGCTCTTAGTGGTGCTCCTGTGATATAGCCAGGATTTCCACTTCTTCGTTTGGTCAAAGAAGGTCTTCTGCTCTGTAAGAAACAGGAAAATGGCAGGAAAAAAAGGGTAGGGAGAGAATGTTATATTTAGTATGGCAAGGAAATGGGCCTGACCTTTCTCAAGTCAGGACCATGTATGTCCACATTTCTGTTATCTAGTACTTCTTTAAAAATGTGCAGCAGGTGGCAGTGTCTGATTGACCTTCTTATTACTCAGGACACTATTGTGGAGTCCTGTACCAGGAAAATAGAGTAGACTAGAAAAAATGCAATAGCAAACTACTTTCCTACTATGGCAAGAACATTGCCTGTAGCTGTGTCTGTAAAGATGCTATTAGTAAAGAAGACTTTTTTTAAAGTAAAAAACTGAAATACCATACAAAAGTGGATTGCAAGGCAGCTCAGAAATTATCAGAGAAGTTAATCAACCAAACTGATATGAAATTGAAATTGTTCTGAGATTGATATGAAACCATGCCTACAAGCTTGCTTGGTGCTATAGCTCATTTATCTTATTTATATAGCATTAAAACTGTCGAGATGCACAACAAACACCAATCCAGAAACTCTTGCCATTGGGTTGAGTAGAAAGTTTAGTTGTATACTTTGGCCCCAATCTGAAGATATAAATACTAACCCCAAAATGCAGCGAAAAACTTTGTTGTAATGTGACTCCTGCATTTCCTGATATATTGGTCAACTTGAACTGAACGTAAACCTTTTGGATTCCATGGTTCCCATTAAACTCCATCTCATAATTCACCTAGAAGTATATCAAACAGATCAGTAAAAAACAAGATATGCTCATGGATAAGCTTTAGCTTATTTCCCTCCTTTTCTATTATAGAAAAGAGCAATTGTTGATGTAGCTAAATACCTCAGAAACAACATTGTGGCATGTATTACCATTCAGCCCAGGAGCTGCAGGCTCCGAACGTGGGATAATGTGGACCTGGCAATGACCAAAACATATACTCAATTTTTAAAAAAATTCACCTCACATGATTCAATTATAAACATTAAAATCATAACATTTTGTAATTTCTAAAACTACTAAATCTCTAAAATGTTAAGATTTCTAAAATTACTCCACATAATTTTGCACAATAACTCCCTTATTCGATTACTTTCTGAACGATTGAACCCTTTGGTCCCAATGAACAAGTCATGGCCAATATAAGTAATCCAATATCATTCCAAACTTAATTTCTTAAATATAGCTAGAGCCGCATTTCATTTGTCAGTCTATATTAGTCCAAATAATTCCATGTTATTTCAAGATATGATTTACTTAAATTAGAAATGGAAAGATGGAAATAGTGATAATTTACCTTGAAGAGCTGGAAATCACTAAAATTGACTGGAACCTGAAAAAGAAAACAAAACCATAGATGCCTCATTTTGCCATAAATCCATATAGTTCATAAATTTGAGATCTTGGTCTTCTTTACAGCCTAATTGTTTGCATACTCTCATTCTCTCAGTAGGAATGGAGGATTGTTTAGGAATACAGGTAGTCCTTGACTTATGACCACAACTGAGCCCCAAACTTCCGCTGCTAAGCAATATAGTTGTTAAGTGAATCACTGCAGCTGTTAAATGAATCATGTGGTTGTTAAGTGAATCTGGCTTCCCCTTTGTCAGAAACTCACAAAAAGTGATCACATGACTCCGGGATAGTGCCACCATCATAAATACATGCCAGTTGCCAAGCATTCAAATTTTGATCATGTGGCCACAGGGATGCTGCAAAGGTCATAAGTGTGAAAAATGGTCATATGTTAGTGCCGTTGTAACTTTGAATGATCATTAAAACAAATGGTTGTAAAGGACTACTTGTAGCCAATTTTTTCTGTGAGGGTATAGATCTAACAATATTCCAGTTCCCAGAACTTGCCACAAGTGATCTTTGAGGATCAGGTTATTCTGTGATAAGCCATGCAAAACGATTAATTCTAAACAGAAGTTTCACTACAGGAGCTTTGTACTTGTCTTCTACTTGCATAAAATAATAATAATTAAAATACATGTTTGGGAATTAAAAAGATGAAATTTATTTTGAGAATAATAACATTTGGTTTTTCTTTATTAAAACCTAACAATTCCAATAAAGTAGACTGATGTAACATTCTTGATGTTAGGCCTATGTGTGTTTTCATTTTTTTTATTTTTTATTGTATTTATGTATCTTTTCCTGGTCTGAACACAAATATAAAATATAAAACATTTTCCAAAGATTTAACCATAAACCTACGTACTTCAGGGGGCCTGCCCACAATGTTTTCATAGGACTTCACCCATAGAGCACCTGCCTTAAGCTGTTAATACAGATATCTCCCTAGATGCTCCTGATTTTAACAAAAGAAATAATTATCTTTAGAGAAGTCCCATGTCTAAATCGTGACTCTTCCCTTATTTGTTATCACAGAACTTCACAGGTGCTTTTGATAATACAAGCATTTGTTGCAACTAATTATATTACCTTTTTTTCTACAATGCTAGCATTTCATATTAGTTGTCTTTTACAATAATAGCGTCACATTTATATAGGACTTGAATTACTGCCAGTAACAGGCCAATAGATAATATATTTCCCAAAATTTCTAATTTTCTACAGTAGTCACTAAATTCACCTCCTCCTTCTCTTTCTTTGATGTTTAAGTAATAGGCTTACTTTTTCTAATAAGCAAGGCTTTTTTGTCATAGAACACCCAGAACGGAGTTCCGGCACCTTTTTTGGATGGAACCTTGTAAGGTAGGCAAGGCGGGTTGTATGACATGTGAGTTCTGGCACCTTTTTTTTTTTTTTTACAAAAAAAGCACTGCTAATAAGTATGCATAAGAGTTCACTGAAGTTGGGCAGCTAATAATTTTAAATGAATAAATAAAATAATAACCACTTGGACATCATCGGCACTGATAAATTCACTAATCAATTGCAAAAGGCAGCTTTACTTGGAAAAGCTTACATCCTGCAATGATATCTGTAACACCATCAAACATCCATATTTGCCTATACCAAGGTCCTTGGGAAAGACTCAAGAGGCAGGCAAAAACGCCATATCCAATCTGAATATCTAGCTGTGAGATGAACCATAGTAATAACAATAATGATACCTCTAACAACATAAAATATCAGAAGCTGCCTATCCCAGATTCTTGGGAAGGACTCGATAGGTGGATAAAAATGCCAAATCCAGTCTAAACATCTGTCTGACTGTGCAACGAACCATAATAAACAAGATTACACTCAATAGCAGAATAATAGGCTTAGTGGTAGGTCAGATTTTACACCTGTAATATACTGAAGTTACGATAATATGAAGCTGCATCCAATGCAGGATCAGAGGTACAACTTCTTATCAGGTCTGTAAAGATCCTAATACAGCTGGTAGTTTTACTTTCCAGGAAACCTAAAAAATGAACATACTGTAAGAGGTAAAGAAAGACAGACACACAGGAAATGTTCAAAAATGCAGTTAACATTTTTTAATATGTATATATGTATATACTATATATATGTACTGTGTGTGTGTGGAGATGCTTTAAACCAGAGTTATAAACAGCCAAATTCCAGAATCTTATTTTTTGACAATATCACCTTAATAGTACAGTACATCTTTTATAAGTTTCAGACTGAGCTTTCTACTTCAAAGGCTCTGACTACTTTGTCATCTGATAGAATATTACAACAATAAAAAGAGGACCATCAAAACTTTTAAAGATCTAGCTTCAGAATCTGTATATCAGACTGCATATTCTATTGGAGAAGCCTTTGCCTGACTAAGCTTTTACTTTTCTTCCAGATTCTGAGATTCCATCTGGAATTGTATTTTTTTTGTAATTGAGCTGTATTTCTATGTAAGACTACTTAGGAACCATGTTGCTACTTGTCTCTCTCCTAAAATGATACTCAAGAACGACAATTAATAATGTCCTAGAACAGAGGTCCCCAACCTTTTGGGCACCAGGGACTGCTTACGTGGAGAGGTTTTTCCGCAGACTGGAGGGAGCATGGTTTTGTGTGCTGCCTGCATCCTGTGGATGGGGCTTAGCTTGTTTGTGAGGCCTGGTTGCTAGCATGCCGCAGCCCAGAACCAGTCCACAGACCAGGGGTCCTAGAGAGACTTTGAAAGTTGACTCAGGAGTTTTCCTCTGACTGACATTTGATTTTCCTATCAGTACAGTGCTGGCAATATAGCATTTCTTTCCAAAAATGTTAGGCTGTATCTCAACGTTATATGAACCTAGCCATGGGCTCACAATTAAGATTAGTATATTCCATCTACCACGTCTTCTCTCTTATAAATTTTCTTACCCTCCATTTACCAGGAATCAAATAATGTATTTTGCTATCAATTGTGCAATGTTAAAAGCACTACAGTATATGGTGGCTTTTAGAAAAAACACAGGAAGTCCTCACTTAACGATGACAGTAATTGAGTCTGGCAACACTCTCACTATGTGACAGTGTCATAAAGCATCATGTCACATGACCATGCCAACTTACACTAACAACTTATACTGGCAGTTGTGGCAGTTGTGGTGTGATCATTAACTGCAGTTGTTAAGCATGATGTCTGATGCATAAACATGATTGCCTCCTGCCACATTCACCTCTAATTGTGCTTGTCAGAAGCTGGCAGTGAAGGTCACAAATGGTAATCACATGACAGCAGAGTGCTGCAATTATAATAATTGCAAACTGGATGCTAAGAGGACCATTTATTAAATCTTGTTCAGTGTCAATATAACTTTGAACAATAGCTAAATGAGTAGTCACTTATTAAGGACTACCTATAATGAATTACCAAATCCAATAAACTTTGTGAACTGTTGTTAGAACTTTGCTAAAATCTCAATGCTCAAGCAGGATTCTCATCAGTGCAAATCTGACTGGTTCCAATGCCCACAGGTTGCTTAAGCACACTTAGTGTAGATGATGCAGCATAATAAATCTGAATTGGATCCCCCACCTGAAATGGAAACAGAAGAGGTAAAAAAGCCTAATTCCTAAAATAGCCCATACAGAAAAAGAACTTAAGCATCAACTTGGTTTTTTAAAAACATTTTTCATCTATTTCACATGATTGAATGTTTAATTAATCTTACACTGCAAGCTACTAGGCAAGTCTTACCTTGTTGAGATAAGGAAGGAGGCTAAAATTACAAACATCTAAATCTGGTCTGCTTCACATTTTCTTCACATTTTCTCACTACTAAAAAATCTTAAAAAATAAAATAGCCAAGAATCAACTCACTTGATAAAAGGCAGACGAAGAAGACCAAACTTGTTCTGGAAGGATGAAAGATGATTTTCCATATTGTGCTGAAAGTATTGGAAAATTTACTTTTGTCACCATCTGTGGCACTTGTAAATAGTTCAGTGTGGCTAAAAATAAAATATAGGAAGAGGAAGCACAACAGTAACATCATAGTGTTAAAATGGCATCCCATATTGCAAATGTAATAAATGTTATTCCCTCTCTTTATCTTTTTTTAATCTGGGCTATAAAACCTAGTACTTTTTGAAAGTTCTTTTCTGTTTTTTGTCAGAGAGCTGGTATATACCTATTCTGTTACTTTAGTTGTCCATCTGTGTTTTGGATGTATCCTTAGCGTTGGTCAAAACAAAGCCCAGTCAACTAGGACCGGTGACAAGGTCCAGGAGCTGAGTGCAAACACTGATCAACCCTATAAAAGTCTCTCTCATTGACTAGCATTAAGGCCTGACGATGTGGGTAGTTTTCCGACGAAAGCTTGGTAATTTATTAAACTTTTCTAGTTTATATTTTTCCTGGTGGTCATGTTTGGTTTGTTTTTTGCAAAGCACGAAGAAAACACCAGCCTGAAGATGACAAAAGGGACTTCGTTGAAACATCACCAAGATACTTCCAATTTTAGTGTAGAAAATGATGCAGCCAAAGACTGAATTACATACAAACCCCCACCTCAGAAATGGAATACAGAAGAGGTGTGTGCCTAATTCCTAAAATGTGCCCATACAGAAAAAGAACTTAAGCATCAACTTGGTTTTTTAAAAACATTTTTCATCTATTTCACATGATTGAATGTTTAATTAATCTTACACTGCAAGCTACTAGGCAAGTCTTACCTTGTTGAGATAAGGAAGGAGGCTAAAATTACAAACATCTAAATCTGGTCTGCTTCACATTTTCTTCACATTTTCTCACTACATCTTAAAAAATAAAATAGCCAAGAATCAACTCACTTGATAAAAGGCAGACGAAGAAGACCAAACTTGTTCTGGAAGGATGAAAGATGATTTTCCATATTGTGCTGAAAGTATTGGAAAATTTACTTTTGTCACCATCTGTGGCACTTGTAAATAGTTCAGTGTGGCTAAAAATAAAATATAGGAAGAGGAAGCACAACAGTAACATCATAGTGTTAAAATGGCATCCCATATTGCAAATGTAATAAATGTTATTCCCTCTCTTTATCTTTTTCTAATCTGGGCTATAAGACCTAGTACTTTTTGAAAGTTCTTTCCTGTTTTTTGTCAGAGAGCTTGTATATACCTATTCTGTTACTTTAGTTGTCCATCTGTGTTTTGGATGTATCCTTAGCGTTGGTCAAAACAAAATTCAATCAACTAGGACCGGTGATGAGGTCCAGGAGCCGAGTGCAAACACTGATCAACCCTATAAAAGTCTCTCTCATTGACTAGCATTAAGCCCTGACGATGTAGGTAGTTTTCCGACGAAAGCTTGGTAATTTATTAAACTTTTCTAGTTTATATTTTTCCTGGTGGTCATGTTTGGTTTGTTTTTTGCAAAGCACGAAGAAAACACCAGCCTGAAGATGACGAAAGGCACTTCGTTGAAACATCACCAAGACACTTCCAATTTTACGCGGGAGAAAACCTGAATAACCAAAGACCTATATACAAACACCCATGAAAACCTCAGAAAACAAATATATATGTGTGTGTGTGTGTGTGTGTGTGTGTGTGTGTGTGTGTTAAGATTCACTTAACAACTGTGATTCTAGTTTAACTACAATGATTCACTTAACAAATGTGGCAAGAAAAGTTGTAAAATGGGGCAAAACTGCACTTAACAAATTTCTCACTTAGCAATGTAAATTTTGGATTCAACTGTGGTCGTAAGTTGAGGACTACATGCAGTATAATAATACACTATTCATATATTTAAATTAAGATGTTCTTCTAATACTGTCTGTTTATTTTTAAGAAAGAGGATAGAATTCTAAGAGACATTATTTTGCTATCAGAAAAATAGAGAGAAAAGGAAAGTGCTTAGAAAAATTGATACCATAATGACAAATGAAAAATGCACTTATTTCACAAGGTTTCAAAATGAAACTACATAAACAAAATCCACTACATAGTCCTTTAATCTTCAGAAAATAAGCATTAATTATGATTTATATTTATATTTCTAAAATTAGATTAAGTGAATAGCTGCAATCAAAGAGTATAATTTGTTGTAGACAAAAGACCAAACTTACAATCATTTAACTGTACACAGAAGAGTAATATCCATCCATCAGGACCTGGAAGGATTTCAGTATGGAAGGGAGTATTATTTCGGAAAATCAGGGACTTTTCCAAGCACACCCGACTCACAGCTCTAAGGGAAAACACAAATACAGAAAACTATCTTAAAGAACATTGTTTATACAAACTCAAATTAACAATATATACCAAATAATAGCTTTCAAAATATACAGCTAAATTCAAGACTTAGTTTTTGGCACATAATAAAACTTAACATTAAAAGCAGTTAAAAAGCTGCATATCCGATTCCAAAATTGTGCTTTTTTTACAATCACAAAAATATCCTTCCAATATATATATTTTAGATACAATTATTTATTTCAATTTAAATACTGCCCAAATCTGAGCAGCTGACAATACACAATAGAAACAATACAGAACAAAATCCAGTCATTCTGTACAAAAACACACGTAATAAGATTTTCCATTCATATTAACCCTAGCCCTGAAAAAACAGCCAGTCCTTAAGATTTTAAAGAATGCCAACAGAATGGGAGACACATGGATTTCAGGGCAATTTCATTCTGGGAGGCAGATGCTGCCACAAAAAAGTCACACTTCCCAAGTCCCACTAGATAATACTGTTTAATCAAAGGAATCCAGAGGGTGCTAATCCTGCTGGCACATTCTGGCCAAGTAGAAATCATGGGAGACAGGAGATCTCTCAAATAACAGGTCCTATGCCAAGTACAGCTTTATAGGTGATGATCAGCACCTTTAATTGCATCTGGACGCACCAGTGCAGCTCATAAAGCATAGGTGTCACACAGATATACTGAGGCATGCCCATCACTGTCAATGCCATTGCCTTCGGGACCAGTTGAGGCTTCCAGTCTGGATAGATAGGATGTCTAGAAACCTAAATAAAATCTCCATATTCACCTGGTACTGCCTGGGAGGCAGAAAGAGAAGGGACACCCAGGGGCACCAAGGTTGCATTCTGAACCACAGTGTGAATCACAACAGCAATTGATGTCGCAGAAGCCTGGATGAAGATCACAGGGGCAGTCTGGGAAAACATTCGTGGGGGAAAGAAGCAGCGTGAGCAAAGATTTTAAAAACAAAGCAAAAAAATCAAAACAAAAAAATCGATAAAGGGGATAATTCGCTTCAAAGGAAAGAGGGATACATGCCCAGACTTCTCCCCAACTCACCAGCACTTTCTTTTGTCTGCATGTGGGGAGTCTTGCTGGGGGAAGTCTTGCTGGGGGAGGTCTCGCTGGGGGAAGTCTCGCTGGGGGAGGTCCCGGGGAGGGACGTTTCGCTGGGGGGCGTCCCAGTGGGGGACGTTTCATCCGTGGAGTTTTCTGCTTTTAGAGTGACGTTGTCAGTCTCGGTCTTCGACCACAACTCCGACAGCAAGAGCAGCAATGGGAATAAGAAGCCGCCACGCTGCCATAATAAGGGCATTTCTGCGTTGCTTAGAGACTGGGTCTCAAAGATATGACGTTCACCAGAAGGCGACACCCTTAGCGTCTTTTCATAAAGCCTATAGAGCTAGAACATTATAGAGTCCACGATAGAGATGGAAAAAGATCCGTGTGTTTTTGATGCCGCGCAGCTTTTATGGAAGTTGTGACTAAATAGCGTAACAGGTATCCTGAAAAAGACACAATTGTAACAAAGACACTGTCGTAATACAGGCCTGTAAAGAAACGGCAGATCAGAGATGGGATAGAGTTCGGTTTGTATGCTGAGCAGTAAAGCCTTAAAAATGAACCCTTTTTTCCTATTTTTTCCTATTTTTTCTATCCTTAAAAGAGCCTCTCGTTTGATTGCCCCTCTTTCCAATATGGATTTTTTTTTTTTTTGCTTACAGGATTATTGAAAATTGCAAACGCAACATACCTGCAAGCAGTAATGAGAGAATCAATAGCTTTAAATCTGAACCCAAGCAAGAACTTCAATTATTTCAGTTATTTAGTTATTGAAATTATTATTTTTAGGTTATGACTTATATTACCCGAAATGCAAACCGACCTCTGCCCCATCTCTGACCAGCAGTTTTTATAGGGCACTATTTTACAATGGTGTCTTAGAATATTCTGTCAACTTTAACTAGCCTGTGATGCAGGCTGTATAAATATTGGAAGAGAAACACAAAATATTTTAAAATGCTTCTCACCCATAAGGTGAGGGAATTGAAATTAGGCTTGTTGTACCTTTTCTGAACAGCCAATTTTATTAAAAGAAATAAGCTTTAATGAGCTGTAACTAACTTCATTTGAGAACTATATTTGTAGCATGTATTATGCTTTATTATCCCTCCAACTGAGCTTGACTCTGAAGATACTGGGATATAGTCAAGCAATTTTCAGGTAATAGCATGGCACTGGTTTCCCATTGCATTCTTCCAGAATGTTTCTTTGACTTCCCACTCCATCCTACAGCTTTGTGTTTCCTGCTGCTCTTCCATTCAAGTACCAAGCAGACTCAGCCCTGCTTAACTTTCAAGACCAACTATGTTTACCAGATATCTGAATGGAGAAAGGAGGATGGACAGTTCAAAAGAAGGACAGATGGAGAGAAAAGGAGGACACACAGACTGTTTTAACCTTCTTGGCAGTTGCGACAAAATTTACAGCAAATACTGCAAAAAATGTACTTAGGCCTACAGGTATGTGAAATTACTTTTTCCAGCATCAGAAAGACTGATTTTTCAATGGCAATAGTTTTCCAACAAAACTTTATATTCAAGAATACATATGATAGCAATAATATTGAATTGATGATGACATGTTTTTCAAATTTTACCATAGAAATGTAAGGCAAATCATGCAATCTATTGACTACAGGAATCATAGATTTGAAGTGGCTGGATTGAAGTCAATTGCTGGAATTAGGAAAAAAGTAAATAACATAAATCTAGTTTGTCAAGTCTGTTGATTGTTTGGAACATGGCTCAAGATCCCAAAATAAACAAACTCAGTTGGAATTCCAGCAATAAAGTTTTATTTAAAAAGAAGCATTTGCAAAGGCTTGGTGAACTGAAACACACGTAGGAGTTCAGCCACACCTTAAAGAGCTGTTTGACGCATTTTTATATCCTACCCCTGAAGATTCCCCCTTCCCCTATCACACTCAATGCCCCTTCCCTAATCATCTGATAAACTAGCTTGGACCGCCTAAAACCACTGCCCCCTCCCCATGTTCCAGGAAGCCCCTTTGTGCACATCCTATCTATCACCATCTAATTTTCTATCAACAAAGCTCCATTCTTATAATTATCTCTATGTTTGTTTGTGGTTATACCTTTGCTACCTTAAGCTCTAAACTTTAACCTCAGTTTTTTGTGTTTCCTCTACTTGCAGTTTCAGTTAGCTAGCAATTTCTGCTTTTCATATTTGTATGAAATTCACATGTCAGAATTTATGACTTTCAGGTGGCTTCTATCAACTTTTAGACTCATTATAAATTTCTGATTAATAATCTATTCCTTTCATGATGGATAAGGAGAAGAAAGAAGCAGGCTATTTTCAAGATCACAATATATGAAATTTTGAATCATTACTGCTGTAAAAACAGTTCCATTTTTTTAAAAAATACTCAGCTGGGACATATTTGATTTTAAGGCTGGGCCTACTGGACAGAGGACATGAGGGCAAAAAAGAGGACATACTCTTCTTTTACAAGACATCTGATAACACTAAGCCTAGGTGAGTTTTGATCAGGTGCACAAAAACAGTGTCTTCTCTGTGCCATAGAATTTGTTTTACAGAAGGGGGAGATGATTCCAAGCTACTACTTCATTTTAGAAATATTTGTATGCAAGAAATTAGTTATAATAGATAATGGAATATTATTGTGCCATGTGCTATTGATTACTATATAGTGTGATTGATTTTAATATTTTTTGGTTCCTATCCACTGTTATGATAATTAAGTGATGCTTAATTAATGTATTATAAGCATTTCATATCACTAGCAACCAGAGGTGTTATATAATTCTCCATCTCTCCTTAAATGATGATCATTGTACTTCATTCCCATTTTTTGTCACAATTTATAACTTAATTTCTTACATTTTTTTGTAGAGAAAATGTGTTAAAGGTAAAAGAATGGGAGAGCTGCCATGATGTCCTTTGATTATGTACATTAAGAGCTATCCATCTTGAAGCATTCTTTGTCTAACAAATAAAGAAGCTAAAGGAAAACAAGTGGATGTTACAAATGGATAACATAGACATCTCATAATTTTTTTATAAATAATGTAAGTACAACAGTCTCAAATGGAAGCATTTTCTATCTTCTAGACATAGGCCACAAAAATATAGAGTTGAATGGGATTTTTGTGGTTTTGTAATCCACCCTGCTGCCCTGATTAAGAATCTTCCAATCACTCCAGACAAGTCCAACCTTTATTTGAAACCCCAGTGCTGGAGCAACCACAACTTCTGGAGGCAACCTGTCCCACTGCTTAATAGCTCTCACATTCAGGAAATTCCTCTTTATAAAGTTTGGATCTTTCACAGTAAAATTCTACCCATTGGTTCTTGTTCTTCCCTCAGGGACTATGAAAAATAAATCTATACTTTCTTCCCTATCAAGAAGTATGGGAAGACTGCTATCATGTTTTCTTTTAGTCTTCTCTTCTTTAAGCTAAATATACCAATTCCTTTAAGTATTCTACATAGATTTTAGTCTTCAAACCCTTTGCTACCTTTGTTGTTCTTCTATATCAGTGGTTCTCAACCTGTGGGTCAGGATCCCATTTGGGGTCGAATGACCATTTCACGGGGGTCGCCAAACAACGCAGTCCACCATTTTCCCCCCTTTTCCTTAGCTGTGCTACTCCCTTTTATTCTATTGGCTTTTGAAAGCCAATAGAATAGACTCTCTTGAATAGAGTCTAATTCTATTGGCTTTCAAAAGCCAATAGGAATTGTCCAGGCTGTCTCTGCCCTGCTGAGCCCGCCAAAAGTCCCATTCTGAAAACGGTGCTGCACCAGTTGAGTAGTCCTCAACTTACGACCAGTTGAGTAGTCCCGACTTACGACCGGTTGGGGTCACGGCATTAAAAAGGTTGAGAACCACTGTTCTATATGTTCTTTCCAGTTTCTCAACATCCTTCTATTGTGGCAACCAAAACTAGACACAGTATTCCAGGTGCAGAGTAACCAGTGTAGAATAGAATGGAACTATCAATTCCCATAATCTTGAAGTTAAAAATAATATTTGGGGTTGGGAGATTGGATATTAGGTAAATATAAATTTACAAAATGGGAGATAATTGCCTAGGCAGTTACATTTCTTATAAGAATAAAGGCCAGGCTATATCAAAGAAAGAGCTTATGAGACTTATAAGTAGTAAAAAAAAATTACAAAAAAGCAAACAAGTTGCTTAAGAAGGTTTCAGATTATATACTATGTGGGAAAATATAGAATGAAACGTTTGAATAAGACACAAAAAAAGATGGTTTCCAAAATAACAGAGAGTTTCCATGCGAACTGGATAAAGCAATGGCACTCTATTGGAAAAAATCCAGAATATGTGAGAAAAGTGCTGAAGTTGCATTGCCAAACTTTGATGTACTCATCAAGTTTTGCTAGAAAGTTTAAATAAATAGATCTTGTAGATCTTGGGAGCCATCACATACAACAAACATTTTTTTGTTGGCATCTTGCCTTTATTTTTCTGAAGCTCAAATCTAACTTAGTTACCTAGATTTTAAATTAAGAAGTATGCTGGGGTACATGAATGACTTGAGGTTTGTTCGTTTTTTAGAAACTGAACTCTATCCATATTTTTTCTACACATCTGAGTCTTTAGATAAAAAGAACAAGTAAATCCGGAAATAAGCTTTGGAAATTTTAGAGAGGACATTCAAGAAAAATATAATAATTCAGGAATAATGTTTTTCAGTATTGAAATTGATTTAATAAAAAATGTTTTTATCCAACCCATTTACTACTGTTTAAACCTCTGAAAAGCATTAAAACATAGCCATGACACCGCTCAAACAATTGAGAAATATGAAGTTACAACATTCAAGAGTCACATGAGTTTACTTCTCCTTTTAAGAGCTTCTGTTACACATTTAAAAATAGTGCTACAAGAAACCAGAATCAAGCTATCTTGGAGAAGAGTATGATAAATGTCATATTCAGAGCAGCTATGTTTTCTCAGGAATGTTCAGCAATAAAAGTTGTCCATAAAAATTCAAATCTTGAACATATTAATTCTGGATGAAAAAAAAAATCATACCACTCCTTGACTGAAACAAAGGGTTTTTTTTGTGCTATACTAGTCATGACCATTCAAACAGAAACTATCCTGTTTGAGTTCAATAGGCTCATACCCAATCCCAAACTTGTTGTATATAGGGAGTTCCTTCTTCTCTGATTCTGGTTTGTTAGTATCTATTCTCTGTTTTATAGAACTAAATCTGTACAAATGTAGCAACATTAACCCAAATGTCTGGTGTTTTTCCTAGTTTCCATTTATCTCTTTGAAAAATTAAATTTATTCTACTGATAACCTTAAAAGGAAGTGCTGTTTGTTCATGAGTGATAGTTAGTGAAGCTCAGTGACTAAGGGCTTATCCACATAGTTCCGTCAATATGCATTGCCCCCAACCTTGAGAGGAAGAAAATATGGTACTAGAAAACTAATGAAATTGTACACCTGTATACTTATTTATTTTTTAAAAAAACAGTAACTGCCCAGCAGAAGAGAAAGTAGTTCAGGGAGGCAAATAGTAACTAGAAATGGCCAAACAAACTAACAAATCTAACAAGCATTATTCCTGAGATTCAAATGAAGGATGTTCTGTAGGCAAGGTCTGGATCTTTTACACTGCCATAATAGAATACTATGTAGCATGTATTTTTCAGAAAAAGTAGAGAAAATATGGTACAGGAGCTTCTATGAAATTGCCTGTTGAATGGCAGGGGCTCACCTAGAAGAAAGAAAAGTACAGCAGGGAAGCCAGAAAGCATAACTTGAGCCAACAAAGTATAAATACAGTACTTGAAAGCAGAGCAAGAAAATGCACCATGAGGTATCATGTAAAGTGGGTGGGGGTGACAACAAGGTGATGTCTTGTATTGTTTAAGGTGTGTGTGTATTTATATACACATCTGTCAACAACAAAATGTTTCCATAAGCAAATGCAAAATAATAAAGCATTTTATTTCCTCTGTAATTCTGAACATAGGAATTAGTATCACAAGGGAGATAGTTGAGATATTTGCTATCTTCTGAATGCAAGGAGATGATATAAATGTTTGGAAAGGGGTTTTTTTTGTTTATTTTACTACAAATTTAAAGAATACATACAATTTTTTTTAAATGACACATTTTTTGTGACAAATGTCAAATTTGTGGGGAATGTTCCTATTAATTAAAATTATTTTCATATAATATTAATTCAAATTAAAGCCACTAAATTTAGTTTTGGTCTCAGATCCACTTCTTTGTCATGGCTCCACATATATTTTAGAATGTAGCCTTAACATACTATTGTATTTAAAGAGAAAGTATGGCCTTTGTGCCCCTCCCATTTCACGAAAATTATATACATTCTACTGAAGACGCTGAGGCAGCAGTTGTTACGTGACGCTTATTTTGCTTATGGAATTTTGTCATGGTCAGCCTTTTGTACTCTCATATTGTCTGTAGCTGGGAACAGGAAACAACATCTTTTAAGTTATGCTACCCTAGAGAAAGAAACCTGAAGGACAATTATTAAGTTTTTCTTTCCTGTTTCCGGGTTTCATTCTTTATACAGACATAAATTATATTGTGACCTCATCACGGTTCTCTTTTATATTTATATTTTAAGATATCATTTATAAATTGTATGCAAAGTTTGCTGACTCCATTTTGGACAGAGATACAATCCAAAAAAATGGATTGTGATCAGATTTTTTTCAAAATTTGAGGAGAACATTTCAAATTTTGGTTTGAATAGAAAATGAATATATTTTGCACAAAGTCAGTTGTGGTAGTATGTCCCAAATAAGGTAGTTTCTGCCTTGAAATTTAATTGTTGTCCTAACTACACAAGAAGCCACTCATTTTATGAAAGAATTCTGTGGAGGAAGGAGCCTCGGTAAATGCTGAAATGCTTTTAACTCTCTTAGGTTAGAACAGATAGCATTTTCATCTATTTAAGTTGCAGCAATTTTTAGAGAATTTTTAGATTTAATACCATAATATACATCTTAATTGTGATAAAGATGTAAATTGCCTAGTGGGTTTGCACTTGAAAATGGCATGAAAAGTGCATTTTATGCACAATGTGATAGTTGGAATATTCACTGGGATCTAAGTATACTGATTAGATTATATAACAGCAGGAGATTATCAGCAATGTAATTATCTATTTCTGGAGCAATTTAAGGAGTTGTTCTTGTCATTTAAAATCTGATACAGTTTGTGTATGAAATTTTGAAAACCTATGCTGTGGAGTACTTAAAAGATTCATTTTTCAAATTTTCAGATTTTAGGCTGTTAGAAGATTAATAGTCCCACAGTTTTGGCCCTTTCTTCCTGAAGAGGAACCAGTATTTTATAAAATAATATATAAACTTTTTTATTATTATTATAATTTTTATTAGTTTTTTACACAGCCATAAGTCATTCAATAGTTGGTAAACAGTGTGGTGTCTGGGTTACATTTGTAAAAATAGTCCTTAACAATTAATTTCTATAATCTGTATTTCATATATTAATTTTGATTACTTTCCTCTTTCCCTAAAAACATCCTTTTTTGCAAACATTACATTAATACAATTCTTAGTATTTTAATAACTGACAATTTAGTATATATTTTTTCCAATATTCCTAAAAAATAATCATCATATTAGTACGTTTCTTTTCTTTCCATTCATTTGGATTTGCCTTATCATCAATCCTGTTACAGTCCTTATTTTAGTTTATTTCTCCCATCAAATTCTGCGTATTTTTACTGGTAGCAATTAGTTACATTTACGTTGACAGACTTGATTTTAAAATAATATACAAACTTTTAGTACAATCAATTTTATTTAATTTTTTTTTAAATGCTATGTACACTGGGCTATTTTTATATTTTTAGCTTAGTCTTCTAGTCCAACCCACTACTCAGGCAGGAAACCCTATATCATTTTAGACAAATGGCTATCCAGTCTCTTCTTAAAAACTTCCAGTGTTGCAGCATTCACAACTTCTGGAAGCAGATTGTTCCACTGATTAATTGTTCTAACTGTCAGGAAATTTCTCCTTAA